GAGGGACCAGGAGGGGCTCAGGGGGAACTGGGGGGGCTGACTGGCAGGCAGAGGGCTGTCACTGTCACAGGAGGGTTTTGGGTGAGATGTAGGTGCAACCGCTGCTCTCCTGGGAGGGCGGGTGAGTGGGCGGCAGCACCGCAGTGAGCCGAGCCCCGGGACGGGCAACACGCCGGCCACGTTCACCCGCTGGCGCTGCACGGGCAGAGGGAGGCCGGTGAGGCCCAGGGCAAGGGGTGGGAGATTTTGGTGTTTGAAAGGAGAAGGGTCATTGGTCTGGCGGGGGTCCAATGGCCGGGAGGGACACGCTGTGCCACCCATCACAGCCCCGCTGCCGGCAGGGCTGGGTGCTGCCGGTGCCATGGGTGCCGTGGGGTGCCGGTTGGTGCTGCAGGTGCCAGTGCTGCCTGAGGACGGGGCCACTGGCCACCGAGGGGTGGGCAGAGCTGGCGGTGGGGCTGACGGAGCTTTACTGGTGTGTACTGAGCAATGACCACCGTACCAGGCACAGCCACAACAACGCCCCACTGGTCCAGCATCATCGTGCATCGATCGCGCTGACTCCTGGGGGCAGGAGAGTCGGGGAGCTGGAGGAGGGGGGAAGGGGCCGCCCCACTGGGAGCCAGGACCGGGATGATGGGTTTCTGAGCTGTGCCATGGAGGGCAGAGACGCCGTGGGCACCTGGCTGAGCCGGGGGAGAGGGACAGTCAGATGGACAGAGCCCAGCAACGGCCACAAACCCGCAGGATTTGGGTCAAAAAAGGCTGAGCTGAGGCTGAGCTGCCCTAGTGCTTCCAGGCGGCTGGATACAGGGATGGAGGGATGGGACGCAGCAATGGGATGGGATGGAGGGATGGGATGCTGGGGTGCAGGGATGGGATGGAGGGATGGGATGCAGCAATGAGATGGAGGGATCGGATGCAGGGATAGGATGGAGTGATGGGATGCAGGGATGGGATGGAGAGATGGGATGCAGCAATGGGATGGAGGGATGGGATGGAGGGATGGAATGGAGGGATGGGATGCAAGGATGGGATGCAGGGAAGGAATGGAATGCAGGATGGGCTGATTTATGCACAGGCTGGTTCATGTCGAGCTCTCACCCAGGCGGGCACTGTTCGCAGCTGCTGAAGGCATTGAATATGGGAAATAAAGCTCCCATCTCAGGAGAAAGTAACTCTGGAATATCAGTTTTAATAAGCAAAAAAATACAAGCTGGTTTTCCATTGGAAAGAAGAAATTAATTACTCCAACTAAGGCAGCATCTTTAAAATGGGCTAAGGTGGGCTTGGAAGTGATGGCGGCGGCCCCGGCATGTGGCTGCCGGTAGCAACGGGAACATGGTGCTGCCATCTTGTACCAAACCCACCGGAGCGGGGTGCAGAAAGTCGGGTGGTAAAAACCCTGTGTGGCTCCACAGCCGGCTGGCAGCTGCAGGGCAGGACCCAGGGGGGGATGATGCAGCCCCCAGGTGCAGAGGGGAAGGTGCTGCTGGCGGCAAGGGGGCCGGGGGGGGGGTCACTGGCCCCGTGGCTTCACTGTTGGCACAGACCTGCCCGCTAATCCCGGGTCCTGCCCTGCTTCTTGCTCCTTCTGTATTTCTAATTGGAGAAGATTCATCTCGCAGTGAGCTGGGACCGTTTGGGGCTGAGCCTGGAGCAACTCGGGGTTTGGGGAGTCACGGTCTGGGGGGGGTTGAAGAGGCCATGGGGAGGACGGACTCATGTGGGAGCGGTGCGTGATGCGGGGACGCAACCGAGGCCACTCGGACCGACCGTGTTTGGGGGAGCCAAGACCTGCAGGAGGGAGCCGGTGTCCCGGAGAGCCTCGAGGCCATAGGGACAAGTGGGAAGGGGCTCGGTGTCAGGCAGGGGATGAGCCCCCCACCCCATGCCCTGGGCACCCCTGAAACACCAAGCCGGGCTTTGACTGACACAGCCACCAACTCCAGCTTTTTGGGGCAATAGAGTGAAACTCTGGGCACAAATGGTTGAAAAAAAATTAAAACAAGCTGACGGGAAGAGCAGCTGGCTGCCAGCAAGGTCTAGTGGACCCGGCACAGGTTGCACCTCTCGCCGAGACGAGCCCACATCCCTCTGGCTCCCTTGGAACGCTGCTTTGTCCCCAGCTGCCTGGCAGATCCTGGCCTCTCGCCCTCTCCCAACAAGAATGGGCTGGGAAAGGGGTTTTCTAGGGATGAGTAAGGGGATGCCGGCCCCGACCCAGGCACAGGGGCTGCCGCCAGTGAGCGGTGGCACACGCCGCACTGCCGTGGAGCTCACTGCTTGTTGTCAGCACCAAGAAGCTTTTTATTTACTAGTTGGGTGGAAAATAAAGCAGCATCTTCCCCTCTGTCCCATAAACTATTCTGACTGCAGTGTGATGTATTTATCATATTTCCTCTGCCCTGGCAGCCAGTCCTGTGCCTGCGGCTCTCCCACAGCAGCTGCTGGCACCATGGGACCCGGCACGGTGGGGAAGGGGTCCCGATGACCGACGAGCCTGATGCCGGCTGTTTGGGGCATCCCTAGGGAGCAGCCCAGGAGGATCCAACCCATGCCGGCAAGGATGCCTCTTGGGCAGCAGCCGGAGCCGGTGGCGGAGGGGGCTGCGGCCGCCACTCGCATCCGACTCATGCGTGGCTGCTCCAGTGGAGCTGGAGGTCAGTGCTCTGGGTGACCCCCCCCCAGCCACCCCCGGCACGCCACGGGCCCCTCAGCAGCAGTTTTGGGGGGTGCTGGGCTGTGGAGGTGGCCGCAGGCTGGGGGTGTCGTGGGTGCGCTGGTGAGCCAGCATGATCCCCTCATCCCGAAACCGCTTCTCGCAGCCGCCACACTGGAAGGGCTTGGCCTCCGCTCGCCCCCCCGCCGGGGATGGACCCCCCACCTCCCACCAGTCGCCCTCCGGCACTGCCGGCAGGCCCCGGTGCACCCGCTGGTGGCTCTTCAGGTGCTGCTTCTGGCTGCAGGTCTTGCCGCACTCGCCGCATTTGTAGGGCTTCTCACCGGTGTGGACCCGCTGGTGGACGGTGAGGGTCTTCTTGTCCCTGAAGGCCTTGGGGCAGCGGGCACAGGCGAAGGGGCGCTCCCCAGTGTGGATGCGCTGGTGGCTGACCAGGTGGTGCTTCTGGCTGAAGCGGTGGCCGCAGTGGCTGCAGGCGAAGGGCTTCTCGCCGGTGTGCACCCGCCGGTGGCTCAGCAGGTGATGCTTCTGACCAAAGCGCTTGCCACAGTCGGCGCAGCCAAAGGGCTTCTCCCCGCCGTGCACCTTCTGGTGCGACGCCAGGATCTGCTTCAGCCGAAAGCGGCGGCCGCACTGCGGGCAGGAGAAGGGCCGCGCCGCCGTGTGCGTCTGCTGGTGCTTCTTCAGGTCCCGGCTCTTGCCGAAGCTCTTCCCGCACTCGGCGCAGGCATGGGGTCTCCTGGGGACCAGGGGGCCGCGGGGGGGCCGGGCCAGCAGCAGCTTGGACGGGATGCCCGGGACGGTGCTGGGGAGGTGGGGGTCTGGCTTCCTCGCGTGGGTCTTCTGGTGGCGTTTGAGGTCCCCCTTGGAGGGGAAGCCCTTCCCGCAGCGGGGGCAGCCGAAGGGACGCTCGCCCGTGTGGCTCCGCTCGTGGATGGCCAGCGCCGTCTGGCTCTTGAAGCTCTTGTCGCACTCGGGGCACGTCGGGGGGGTCTTCTCCAGCAGCCGGGGGGCCGAGAGGGGCTGGAGACGGGGGTGCCCCGCCGGGCCCCCCCTGCTCCCGCTCAGCCGGCGGCGGGCTGAGCCCCGCCGCCGGCTCCCGCCCCGCTCGGGCGTCCTCAGGAGGAGGGCGGTAGGTGCCCGCAGCCCCTCAGGACCCCCCCTGATCTCCCTCTGCATCCACACATCACCAGCTGCTGGGGAGGAGAGGCCGGGGTCGCTGCCAGGGAGGGGACGGGCATGTGGGACCCCTCCCCAGAGGGAATGGCATGGGGACCCCACCAGCCCCCCACCCCTCCTAGTGCACAGAGAATCTGGGGCCAACAGGACAGTGCTGCTGGAACCCCCTGCCCCCCCTGCAGCCCCCTGGTACCTGCCTGGAACAGGGGTCCGGTGCCTCCACCGTGCCCTGGGAGGGGCTGGCATGCACGGCATCTCTTCTCGCTCCATCTTGCAGATGATCTCTGGCTTGACAGCGGGCCAGCCTGTTCGGGCAGAGAGAGAAGCACCCTCTTCCGTGCTGCCGGGACGGCGGCACCGGGCCCCCCCCACCAGACCGCAGCCCCAGCATCCTCTCTCCTGCCCCTGCCTGGCCACTTTTGGTCAGCCCTGAAGTGCTCAGGAAGATAGAGGAGATGACCTTTGTAGGGCCCTTCCAACTGAAAATACTCCATTCCATTCCATTCCATGTCTATTCCATGCCATGCCATTCCATGCCATTCCAGAGGCTGCCCGGCAGGCTAAAACCTGCCCTCAATCACAACTGCTGTGTCAGCGCTCAGGCAGCAACAGCGACAGCTGGATTTTCACTTTCAAGGGCTCCAGCTCAGTTAAAGAGGTAAATTCCGGCTCGACCCCAGCCTGGCAGCACCAGAGAGAGTCCTCACCCAGCGAGGCGACTGCCTGGTAGTTCTCCAGCATCACCTCCCGGTAAAGCCGCCGCTGCCAGCCTGCCAGCTCTGCCCACTCCTCGGGGGAGAAGTAGACGGCCACATCCTCGAACGTCACTGGCATCTGCAGCAAGAAGCAGGCGCGGCTCAGCACACCCTGCCGCGTGTTTGCTAACCACCTCTGCCAAAATCCTGACGCTGCCAGGCAGGGGCCTGGCAGCACCGTGGGTTCCTGCATCCCAAGGGCAGCGCTGGGAGAGCTCGGAGCTTCCCATGCAAGGGAAGGGTGATGGCAGAGGGGTGGCGGGTGGCTCAGCCAGGCGGCACAGCAGGGTCACCGCGGCATGGGGGGCTCGCTCAGCAGGTCCCTGGGCAGGGGGACACCCCACCGGCTGCACTGGGAGAGGGGCAGAGCTGGCAGGCTTACCAGCAGTGCTCATGCCAGATTAGGGACCCACGCCAGGGCAGCGGGGACTGCGCCCTGTCCCCCACCCCTGCCGTAAGCCAGAGTCCCTGCCGGGGCAGGGCACAGCACCGCGACACGAGGCTTGGCCCGAGGCCTGGCAGCAGGCACGGTCCTGCCTGCTCCTGCCCGTGGTGCAGCTCAGCACCCTGCACCGCACCGGGTCTCAAAGCACTTCTCTCCCACACCGCCCCGCAGCAACCAGACCCCCAGCCCATCCAGTCCCACGGGCATTTTGCCGCTGCTGCACCACGGCACCAACCACGGAAATCCCAGCCCGTGGCGTACCCGAAGCTGGGGTGGATGAGGAACATGTGGGCTGCTGGGGCTGCAGCTCTGCACGACCTCAGCAAGGGCAGAACCGGGTGAGCAGACGGGTTTATTGCCAGTGCCGGGGCAGGCGCCGGCTGTGCCTGACCCCCACCTTGCCGGAGCAGCCTGGAGCCCGGCGTGCCGCTGGCTGTCGGCAGGCAGACGAAGGCACGCACAAATATTTATCCGGAAAGACGGAGGTGGGATGCTCTGGATTCCACAGGAGATGTCTGTCCCATGGGCAGCCGTGCCGGCGCAGCCAGGACAGATATTCCCTGCCAAGCACAATATTTTGATTAATAAATGGGGGGGGCAGAAGGTCCCTCGCTTGCTGGCAACTGCCTGCCCTTCTGCCCAAGGCCTGAATGACTCCTGGCAGAAACACCGACCCGGAGAGCGTCACCCACCACAAAGACAGGATTTTTGGCAGCTCCTGACAGCACCCGGATCACCCCCCCGGTACCTAAGCAAGTGTGCAGGGGGGTCCCGGGGGGGTCTGACCGCCCGTCCCGGGGCGAGCCGAGCCCTGCCCAGCGCCGGTGTCGGCAGGGCCCGATCCGGGGATGGGGGGGACACGGGGAGCAGCGTGTCCGCCTTGGCACGGGGAAACCCTGGAGAGACACGAAAAGGCCGGG